TTAGAAATATTTTGAATTATGTTTAAAAAGAGAATGAAATAGAAAAGCCTTTCAAATACTTCTAGATTTTGAAATCATAATGGTTTGTTTGTAATTAAGCACAAAGCTACACAAAGGGCTATCTGTGTTCTGCCCACCACTGGTATCGAAACCCGGATTCTAGCGTTGTAAGTTTACAGGCATGCCGCTGTGCCACTAGGGGGCGAAATCATAATGGAACTTGAATGCTTATGATTACCTAACAATTGCACTTAACAAAATTCAAGGTTTAAATAAAAATTTGGTAAAACACTTCAGATTTTTTATTAGAAAATGAAATTCAAAAATCAAAGGTTTCCATGTGAGATATGAATTTAAAACACACTAGAATTATACAAGCATACAAGAAAGACTTTAACAATATTATTTTAATATTACATGCACAATTTACTACATTTACCGATAGACAGTGTCTGACATTAGTTAGAAAATTATTCGTATATAAAAAAAGTTTTTTTAACTTTTTTTTTGTACAGTAATGATGATGACTATCACAAACTCGTTACTCTACATGTCACGTTCCTGAATTTCATTTTATCCTAGAAAACTAAAACACTTATAAATTACCAGCTTCAAGGCTCTACCTTCTCACTGGTTAGTAAATGCTTTTTCAAAAATTCTTTTAAGCGTGCATTTTTCTCTCTCTCCTTCTCTTTTGTTCTGGTAAAAATACGAGAATGTGAATATTGTTGTATGTTTAAAACAATTGTACTAAGAGATAAAAACAATTTTATTTCAGAAGATTTAGGGTTGCCATCTACTGACAATTTTGTAAACTGATCCGTGTAACAATGTCGATTCTCAAATATGAACGAAATGATAAATTCAGAAAAATAAAAACTATCATGACTTACTTATCTTAAGAAAGTTATATAACATTTATTATTTCAGAGCAATACAACAATTATCATCATCATTAAATTATTTTCGCTCCTAGTGATACGGCGAGAACTCTTACGGATCTTTAAAAAAAGACGCTTTTGGAAAATCCCCCCACTCTATTACACACACAAGACGATATATAGTATTTAATAAATTATACTCAAAACCATATTTTACTGAAAGTGGTCCAAAGCATGATATAACCTTATTCACTTTAAATAAACATTATCAACTCACTATACCAGTTGAAGCCTATCTTAGAAGTTTTCATGCACGCGCAATGGATAGTAGACTGCGCCGTGCGCGTTGTCTGTGACTCCTAAAGATGATTTGTTATCGAAGTCTTGAAATAATGTATTATCATAGTCTTGCAAGACCTTTACGGATTTAATGCAACCGTTAAATTGCTCCTGGAGGAAAAGTGGAACTGAATTTTTTTTCAAAAACTTCTTACCTATTTACTTATAAAAAATGTATACCTTAGTGTTATTGTGTCGTGTTAATAAAACTCCAATTGTCGTAAGGCCTTGTGATTTGAAATATTTCGTTTGCATTCTATGGGGTAACCAAATCGTATGCTTAAGGTAAGTAACAGCTTCTAGAGGGTAAGTTCTTCTGTAGCATAAATGCCAATGCAGAAGATTTATTATAACATTGGCATTTTTAGTACAATTGCAATCAGTTGGAGCTCTTTTTTTATTTTGCTGATTTTGGAAGTTTTAATGACCGTATATCATTTAACGATGTATTATTTTGTTTTTGTTTTTTAAGCACAACGCTACACAATGGACTGTCTGAGCTCTGTCCCTCGCAAGCATCGAAACCCGATTTTTAGTGTTATAAGCAGCAATAAGTTCTCAGTTTTACAGTTGAGCTACTAGGTGGGGCCCTTGAACATGTGCCGAATATATACCTGTATCGTCAAAGTCGCCGTGGGAAGCGCTGTAAGCATTCTCTCCCAGTACATTTCGTAATAATTAACGTTTCTGTGATGACGTTTAATTTGTGTTTCAACAATAAATCACTTAATATTCATATTTCTAATCTAGAAACGTTTGTGTAATCTGGAATCTTATTGCAACAGCAAAAAAAAAAAAAAAGAAAGAAAGAAAACAGATGCTTTTACGTGACTTGCACACAGGTTCATACTATATGATATCAATGGATCTGCTTCGGGTGCTTAATTTCTTAATCCGCCACTGATGTCTGTCTTAAGTTTTTAGAAATGTAAATGCTACTGTTGTCGTAACTAGAGGTTTAACTGAAAGTTGTTATAAATTGAATCCTTCTCCAAAACTAACGTAGCCCCACTTTTCGCAATAATGAGCTTTAAAATTATTATTTTGGGTGTATATTTAAATTAGTAATTGTTAATAGTTCGTTTGACTTGGTTATAAACTAGAATTTAAGATTTGTTTTTATTCGATTTTATATCAGATTTCTCGTTAGTGTATTATTCAGTATTGTACATGTGGTTCATTTAAAGCCCCGTGACAAAAAAGTCTTCTTTCCTACTTCATTATATAACCATCTAGAAGAACCCGCGTTTCTTATTATGGTTAGGTAGAAAGGAAATCTTTAGTTTTATCTGACGAGGTGAAAAGATTGTGCGGGTTTCTAGCTGTGTCAGTTAAAACTTTTGAATACCAGTGTTTCTCTATGTTTCAGTTGGTTGAGATTTAGAAAACTTTTAGAAATGCTCCAAGATGGTGAAACAGAACAGATACAACTTAATTATGTAAAATAGTAGTTATTTTAACTTTTTACAACTATAAAATTTATTGTTTAATGATTAAAATATTTAATTTTGTGTTTATTATCATTTATTTAATTAAATTGGACATGCGATGGTTTTGTTACAGCCTCCAGTTACTTAAAACTCTAAAAACCATCATAATTCCCGAAAAGGGGTTATTCGAATACAATTAAACGTGAGTATTAAATCATATTGCTTACAAACAACCTTTACACAGAATCTTTATAAGAAAAAAAGTGCAACCGTAAAACAGTGCAACAAAAGACGTTCTGTCAATGTGAAAGACACTATACTGGTTCACGAAGAGAGAGAGAAGAAAAATAGTTAAGTACAAGATATGCTTTATTAATGGATTTGCAATCAGCATTTGAAATAAAAATAATCTAGCATATGGATACGTCAAGTACATGTTACCTAATAAATTAGACAAACAGTACGATCTTTTACTCTAGTTTACTTTTTATGTTACACAAGTTCTATAGTTGAATTGTAAAACACCTCAGGCTAAAACAACAACAGCAACTTTTCATGGGTTCGATTGTTGTATTGCCACTTTGAAAATAATCATTCGCGATTTGTATTGTTATGTCTATGTGCACTAAGTTAGATGTTTATAGGTTTTGGTTTGTTTTGATTTTTGAACAAAGCTACACGAGAGTTATCTGCGCTAGCTCCCTAATTTAGCAGTGAAAGACTAGAGGGAAGACAGCTTGTCATCGCCACCCACTGCCAACTCTTGGGCTACTCTTTTACCAACGAATAGTGGGATTGACCATCACATTATAACGCCCTCACGGCTGAAATGGCAAGCATGTTTGACGGGACGGGTATTCAAACCCGCGACCGTCAGATTGCGAGTCAAGCGCCCTAACCACCTGGCCATGCCGTGTCATATATAGATACAAGCCCACCCCAGTGGTACAGCGGTACAGTGGTACAGTGATGGAAATGGGGGTACACGCCGTGTATCTAGTTCTCAGTGACAAAACCCTCTCGAAACGTTGTACATTTGCTGTTATGTTAGACTTATATTAAAGATTTTCTTCATTACGTATTCAAGCCGTCTCCAAGCGTTACTACTGAAGATGTTTATTAATCCTATCGTCACGGAACAAAGGCCATGTCATCGAGTTTGCTGACTTGCATTCAAAATTTTATTGAACTACTATTTTATGAATCTATGTAAATAAGTTTGGTATCAAATTGTAGATTATAATTCAAATTTTTGTATTATACATTAGTTAGTTTCTTAATTTAAAAGTAAATATTAAAACAACACACCTAAATATTGATTTTTGTGTGTCACGTGGTATGTTGAATGCAGCATTGGTTCAAATTATATGTTTGTGATGTCCAAACACAAAGTCAAAAGTTTGTTATGAATGATGTTAGTAAATGCTCCCCAGTGTAACAGCCATATGTCTGCGGACTTACAATGTAAGATACCGGGTTTCGATACCAATATTGGGCAGAGGAAAGATAGCCCATTGTGTAGCTTTGTGCTTAACTTTACACCAACAAATATAGGTACAGTCACAATTTCGCATATTTTAAGCTATACTGCTTTTTGGTGAACAGACTAAGTGATATTAATCATAAATGTATCTTTTCAGAAAGATTTACCCTGAAGCATCCATTTTTTTCCAGGTTATTCTTCATTGTTTAAATCTGTTTTACATTACAGCAGACTCATAAGGCTCAGTCTATATCTTCTCTTGATGATTTTCTTATACAACATAATAAATTAAGTCCCATTACCGCCAGTATTTAGGTAAGAAAAGAAAATATTAACATATAATTTTAAAGCCTCTAATTCATGTCAAGTTTACATCTCAAATATGATCTATAAATTTCGGAACTGTCAAATAATGAAATATATATATATATTTTTCATGATTTTATTTTTTTTAAAAAAAGCTTAAATATTTTAACATTTTAGTATTTCTTTTTTAAGATGACATCACTAATTTGTATCAATTTATCATGGCGGAGTATGGAGGACGGCGGCAAAACTAAATTTCATTGAGTGGATATTTTCTTTAAAAGTTTAACTCGAAAAAAAAGGTTGTATTGGTAGATAATAATAATATACTATTTCGTTTTGTCGATTTGAATTAGAATTTAGTGAAATGTACTGTCAAAATATATATAAATTTCTTATATATAAATATATTTATTAAATGTAAAATTATATATTTTTTTCATTTGAAAAAGTTGAAGTTAAACAAGACATGGCTTAGTAATAGTAATACTTTATTAGAATTATAGTAATAAAATAATGGTTCATAGGTACTATCGCGAGTATTTCCAGATTGCTATAATTTGTTAGTTGTGTATCTGTATTCGCTGTCAAGTGTGACTTACCGATTTTGAAATGTTGGTTGAATCAATGAATGATACTACTGATAGATTGATACGGTGTGTATTAGTTTGCAGGAAATGCAATTTAAATTTTAGCTCTAAGCCTAACGTTGTCTATGACCTCGACTTGCAGATCTTATATTTATTATCTAATATAAACATTTTATCTTCGGTGCTGTTTGTCCTTCTTCATAGGCTTTGTGGTGATAGTAAGTTCATGGGTAGGCCTAATAATATTAGTTTTTATTATCTAAAATTGTTGCAAGTTTGACCGTTTTGTTGTCTTTTTCGATAGATTTAATATTATTGTTATGGAAAAATTAAAATGCAACTAAAATTTGATACAACAGAAGTTGTATCTGGGAAAAAGAAAGGACTGCCTTGCTTGATTATCAGTTTTGTAATCCAATTCTAACTTGCAAGTTACATCCATAAGTACCTTTTTGTGTATCTGTATAATGTGTATATTGGTTATTATCTGAAACATTATTATATGCATTACTTATGGTTTTTTAGTACATAGCAAACAATTTGAATTTTGTATATTTAATAACAATACATGTTATTGTGTGAAATCGTTGAGTGATATTTTATGTATATTGGTTGTCAGACAATTTTTATTCATTTATGACTGGCTCTCCCAGTGTTTTCACTGTTCCAATATGCCTGACACCTTTAGTACTATAGGAGCTTACAGTGTTATTGTTAGGCTTTTAAGTTAATAGCAGTAGAGTGATGAATCCTACACAGATTTGTGCTCTGTCAGTAAATTTGAGCATAACTCATCAAAATGTATAAAAATTGTTTTAAAAAACTGCTATTATTTTAAGTCAAAAATTCTTAAAAGTTAAATAACTTACACCCAGATTTTAGGTTCTTTAAAAGTACCAGTGCTTATACATGCATACAGCAAAGGATTATGCTCATATGTGCAGTTTGTAATATAGTTTAATGAAAACAAAAAAATGTTTAAACATTGTTTTGAGGCTTTAAAGAAATATATGTTAAACAGGAAATTAAATAATTGTAAACTTGGATGCCATTTTTTTGCTTCCCTTTCCTTTGAATGACAAAAAGACATTAATGCTAGGGTGAGTACCAATCACAGTACATCAGCCAATAAAGCACATTAGTTGGATGTATTGTTATTGACCAATTATTACAAGTCTCACAGCCAGATGAGACTACCCAATTGGTTTAATAATGACTGACATCGAAACTGCTAAATAATATACCACAATTTTGTTACTAACAAGAACTAATGCCATTAGGTCATTTATTGGCTCATTTGAAGAGTATTTAATGACTTTAGGTTCTGTGAGTTGTGACATGTTTGCTTTTTGGCAGTAAACTGGAAAGTATGTGGGTTAGATGATAAGCAGATCAAATATGTCCTGGTACTGACTACCAGCATAATTTTAACTTTGCTAACACTTACTCATAAACTTGTCATTTGAGTTAAGTATATAAAATCTTATAAAAAAATATTGACATTACCTAATGGACTACCTTTAGCTACTGTTCAGTGTCAGTATGGTTATATTTTCAGGACATTATAATATCAACTCCTGTGATGTATAGCAAGTTGATTTATTTATTTTTTCCTTCAACACTTAGGGAATCTGTTAAGAACAATGTTATTTTAAATTTATTGTTAAGTTCTAATAAAGAAATGGTTGTTAGGGTAGACATTGGGAAACATCTGGTTGCAAGTGACCATTATTCAATTAGATGGATATAAAGAATAATGAGATTTTGGTAGTTATTAACTTAAAAAAAAAGCAAATTTTGAAGACATGAGACAAGAATTATCTCCTGTGGCATGGGCAACAGAATTAAAGATATACTGATCAAATGTGGAAATTTTTTAAAATAAATTCTGAAATATTCAAGATAGGCATGTTTCTTATAGATAATAAAGGGTGGCTGAAAGTAAAAAAGTCAGGTTGGCTCACAGAGTATAAAGGATAAAATTAAAAGAAAAGCATTATAAATATAAAAAGTTTGACTGTAATGATGGGAGCTATAGGGAATCTTTGTTGTCCTATTATGTTATGATCAGGCACTTAAAATTACTATGAATATTAAATATAGATGGTAGTATAGGTAAACTATTTGTTAAAGGAAAACTGGTGTAAGAAAATGGATTGGCCTGTGTAACATTAGATAGGATTTTATGTAGTGAAATGTATATTAGAGTTTCATTGTGATTTTTTTTTTAGAAGCCCTACTAAAGAAAATACATATGTAAATTGTATAGTTATCAGCTATGAAATAAAAGTATCTAATTATATCTACTATCTATACTGTTTATTTTCATACTCAAGTTGAATCATACATCATAAAGGTTAAATCTGATATCAACTTTTCATTATTTTCCACCTAATATCTCGAGTCAAAAGACAACATTTTACATTATGAATTATTAAAGACATAATTAGAGATAAATACATTTTTGATCAAATAAATATTTTTATCAAGTAAGTCAAATAGTGATTTGAATAAGAATGTTGCATTACTTCTTTAATTTTCCATACAGTGAGGGTATATATACCACTAGGAATAAAAAAAAGCTAATATGTTTGGAGATCAGAAAATGAGAGAGGACAAACTCCTAATAAAAGCTTCGGGTCATGGAGAACTCTCAGCCAAAGGTAAATGTTGTTGTTTTATACTAATCTCATTAAAACTGGGTGATTAGCGGAATGTACTAATCAGTTAATTATTGGACTTATTAATAAGTTACATACGAAACTTTAATAGTTGGATTTATTGAAAATAATAATAATTGGAAACACTAATTTTGATTATATGATTATTTTTATGAGTCATGACACTGATTTAACTGAACAACCTTGAATTTTATTGAAAATAATGAAAAATCATAATGGCAGTATTTTGATTACTTAGATTGTTGGAATAACTGAAAATGGTAATTATAAGAAATACTAATTTTGATTAGTTGATTATTTTACATGATGCTTAGCAATGTAATTGATGCTCATATGAAGGCGAGTTAATTGCCTAGTCCTGCATCTTTAGTTGACTTCTCAATAAAATTATTTATCACTAGTCTGAAGTATTTCTTCTAATGACTATATCTAGCGAGGTGATAAAATGTGCCAGTTTTATTTTACACAGTGAATTAAGTCAAAAAAGTATACAAATACATTATGAAACCCAGATGATCATTGTATCAATATTTGAGAAGCTATATATATATATATGTTTAGTTCAGGGAAAATGGACAACAAAATAACCTATAGGTGAATCTTATATTTTATTTTATGGCATTTTTGAGTTAAGATATCTGTTGATGTGAAGGTTTCAGGAAAAATGAATAACATTGTTAAAGTGAGTAGTATCACGGTTTGAAGTTAACACTGTCAAAATAGCAAATATCTGGTTAGTATTGCAGTTTTGCAAATAAAACTTAGTAGACACTAGAACAAGATTGATAGTACATTTCAAAAGGAAGATTTGGATATTCTTACTGTTGTGTATCAATACACCTTTGGTACATCTATTTCAGTTATTTATATTGCAAAGTTTTGAGTATACATTGTTACTATAATTATGATTAACAAGGTTTTGCAACCCCATTTGAGCTGCATAGCATATCCCACAAGACTAAGTTTCAAGGGAGGGGATAAACATTGTCCAGATAATTATAGGCCTATTAGTCTTACATCAGTGGTGGGAGAAGTTTTTAAAGTCTGATAAAAGATGCTTTGCAAAGGTCATTTAAAAAAGTTTAAAATTTTGTGGAATGGTTAACATGGTTTCGCTATGGGAAAATCTTACTGTACTAATTTTTTGATATTCTTTAAAGAAGTTACTGCTTATGTATCTGGATTTTCAGAAAGCATTTGACAAGATGCCAAATAAAAAACTTGTTAAAAAAGCAAAACTCTGTAGGTGTGGGGGATAGTTTGACTCATTGGATCGAAAACTAGATGGATGGAAAAAATAAGAGTTGTTTTAAATGGAGTTCAATCAAACTGGATTAATGTCACATGCGTGGTAGGTACCTTAGGGCTCAGTGTTAGGACCTTTGCTCTTTATGATTTATATCAATGACATAGATTAAGGAATAGCCGATAAATTGCTTAAACTTGCTGATGATATTGAAGTCGTGGGTGTTGCTTGTGTCAG